ATGAGGAGGAGGATGAGACTAGTCAGTTTGGACTTATAAATTTCTATTTTAAGAATTGAACATTTATTTCAAAATTACTAAGCTCCTCAATTCTAGTCCTTGTGAGGAGGATCAGACTAGTGGGGTGAGACTTACGACCATATTCTATAGATAAGGCGGTCAGATTAACCTGAGCAGCATTCTCTAACCTCGTATTTAAACATTTAACTTTGGTTGGAATACATGCGAACAATTAGTGAGGTGAGACTTACGACCTTATTCTATAGATAAGGCGGTCAGATTAACCCGAGTAGTATTCTCTAACCTCGTATTTAAACATTTAATGTTGGTTGGACTACATAAGGGCATTTGTAAATTATTTGCTTTTATAGACATCTTAAAGCATATACAACTCAATGGTATCTTAAGTGGTACTAATCTAAGTCTTGAGAGTGGACTCTCATTTCCAAATATCTCATTTGACTTAGAAAATAATCATGAAAATTTTATAAATTTTGAAATCATTTGGAGGTTAAAGTATTTGTGGAAGTGTTATAATTTTAGGCTTTAAAAAGTGAATGTCTTCTGTTTGCTAATAGGAGTATTACGAATCAGATGGCGGAATTTGTGAACAATTTGTTTATATAGATATCTTAAAGCATATACAACTCAAGGGTATCATAAGTGGTACTCATCTAAGTCTTGAGAGTGGACTCACATTTCAAAATATCTCATTCAACTTAGAATATAACCATGAAATTTTTATAAATTTTGAAATCATTTGGAGGTTAAAGTATTTGTGGAAGTGTTATAATTTTAGGCTTTAAAAAGAGACAGTCTTTTGTTAGCTAGCAAGAGTATTGCAAATCCAGTAGTGAAATTGAAATACTAATTCTTCATTTTAGCATTTAAAAATGGAATTTATGTCTTAAACGTAGACCCAATTTGTTATATTTAACATTTAAATCAATTTGTCAGCCCACCTAAGCTTCAAACCAATCAAGCTTAGCCCCAATTTATATTTTCAAATAGATCACATAAAAATTCATTTACATAACGATATATTTTTTATCTAATCATCTTCAAATAGGATCGAATTTGAAGCCAAAAAGAAATCCAATTATATTAATTGACGAGTCATTCAATTTTCATGACTAAGGCTTAAGTGCATTTAATTCATCCTCTTGAAATGACTTCAACAATGGCTCAAGTGTTATTGTGTTTTGTAACATGCACTTTCTTTTAATTTTGTCATTTTGAAAGCTCAAACAATATATATTTTTATATTATTTACCAGTCCAATGTCACCAACAATTTTGGCAGCCTCCCGGCATCAACCCTTGTTAGGGGCCACGGGAGAATTTCAATCTTTTCAGCTATCTCAAAAGGCTCGCTGGTCAGTGTTGTAAGACACCCAATCGTGTTGTAAGACACTGCGATTGGAGAGCAAAATCAAATTTTCATCCAATGGTCTTAAAAGACGCAACAGGGAGCTAAAGAGTCTTTAACCCGCAATCTCAAAATATGTGGCGGGTTTTCAATGTACCTGCATAAAATTTTAAATAACAAGTAGATAGTTCCCCAATTTAAAAGTACTTCTCCAGACGAGTTCACAATTTTCCCTGCCTAACTGGTACTTTGCTCTCCCTGAATGGAGGTTTTTTCAGGAATTTCCCATTGTCCGAATTATACCTTTCCGAGCCACGATATTGTCGACGACGACGATGAGGCAACCTAATAAAATAAAAATAACAGGATAACACATTTTTTATTTACAATCAGTTTAAGCAGTAAATGAACAAATAAAAGAAAGATTTGGCTCGACTAGGCTAACAAACAGAGGTTTCGAAACTCGGCGAATCAAAATAACAAAAGGGGTGGGTTGGGTTTTGCTTAACAACCAGGGTTCGCACAATGGAGTTTGGTTGTATGTGGTTGGGGCAGGGAAGGGTCGTGTGAAAGAGTATAGTTCGGTGTGGGGCTTCACTACGAGGGAGGCGCGTCAAAGAGGGATCACAAGCTTCAACTTCGGGCTATGGTAAAGCACGCAACATTGGCGAAAGGCAGACAGGGTCGTGCAAGCAATAAAGTGAGGAGATGACAACTTCTGCTCAAGGCTTTAGTGCAGAGAGATCGGGCTTGCGAGGGCTTTTACTGTTGCTTACAGAAGCGATGTGGGAGGATCGCAGCAGGGAGAAGAATAGTTTGCGGGTAAGTGGAAGGGGGAATCGCGATAGGGGTATTTGTGCGTGAAATAATGGAAGGCGAAGAAGTTGTTACAGGACTGTGCAAAAAAGACTTGACCTTTATTCGAGTGCATGAGATGGAGATCAGGCGAAGCCATAAGTGTTTGCACAGGGAGTAAGGTGTGGTGTTCATGCAATGCGAGGACGATCGGCTCTGTGCAGAGCAGGCGCGTCAACTTGAACAGGAAAAAAAGCAATTGAAGCTCTCATCTCCCCTCTGCAATAGACGTCGTCACGGACTAGAACAAGAAGTAGAAGGAGAAAAGGGGGAATAGTGAGTCGTTCTCATGCAAACAGTGAAGAGAAACATAAAACACTTGTGTGTATTTCTAACAGGAAGAGAAGAACTGCGGCTCGTTGCTTTAGAAGTCCAACAAAGAGGATTCTTACATGAACGAAGGAAGAAAAACGACAAAGAAGAACAACTGACTTATGATTTCGCTGCAGAGGCTTTGAACCGGAGATGATTAAGCTGAGGGAGAACAATAGAGGCAAACCGAGCATTGAGGAGAGTAGAAGACGAATGAAAAGGGAACTACACAGTGCACATAGATAAAAGAATGTCCGAAACTGTTTATATGAGGGGCTACCGTGTCCATCGTGTGGCTTTTCTATCAAACATATGCAGGAACAGTTATGTCGTCTAGTGAGAGCAGGGAGCAGACTGATGTATGAAGATTTACCATTAATTAAGTTTAACTAACCTAATTAATAAATATTATTTAAGTTTAATGAACCTACTTAACAATATTAATAATTTTAATAATTTTAGTTTTTCTTTTAAATTTCAACAGATGCCTTTGGTGTCAAGGGGAGAGATGTTGGTTGGTATGTTGTCGATAAGAGTTTTTATTTTCTAAGTGATATTTTATCTTAGTTTTGGTTTTCTGGACATATTGTGCAAGTCATTTTTCAATTGGATGATTTCAACATTTTTTTTTCAGAAGCATAAAAGGGCATTTGCCATGGCACATGGCTTGATGTAGCAATCTAAAATGGCGTGTATTATTTGTGATATGCATGGGCAATGGCTCATTGTACCATAGCATATACTATTTGGATTAGAATTTAAAATTAATTAATTTTAATATCATGTATATATTATTTATTAGTTTTATTTTATTTAAATTAGGGTTTAGGGTTTAATTTTATTTGAATTTATAAATTGAACTAGATGGCTTCATTAATTTACTTGTGAACTCATATGGAATTTTTTTTTTATTACTTACATTTGTTGTTGTTGTTGTTGTTGTTGTACTTACATTTGATAATCTTTTTTCTAAACTAGGATCAAGTATTACATGAACTATTTTGTATCAAATTCTCTCATGACTTTGAGGTTTTAAATGTTTAGAGGTGTTAAATGAATAGAATTATTAAATGATTAGAAGAATAAACTATGCTATTTGAAACTGAACACATGCTTATCAAAAATTTTACTTACTTTGAGATGTGGCTTCTAAAAAGTTTCACTAAATATTTTCTTATTTATATCAATTTAATCTATTGATTGAGGTGTTGAACACTTTAACCTAAGCGTCACTTTGGTTGTTTTCATTATCATGATTATTTTTCTTTCAATATAATATTTTTTATATGTAGCCATATTCCTATGTATAATTTTTTAATATTTTGTGTCATTAAAATGGTGTGATTGCTATGGTCTGTTATTTGCCATTGACAAGTATGAAGTCTGAATCTATTTGAAGATTGTAGGTCTTTTTCGGTTGTTGTCCGGAAGTCAGAAATGCAATTTTGGTTGAGCATATATGGGAGATCTATGTGTGATACTGGAGTATAGGGATGCTGCTAGGTTTTGATTAATAAGTTGGTAAATGTTGTAATTAGGATCAGATCAAGTTGTCTGGCATCAAATGAGAATTTTGGAGGACGAGCAGAGGAATCATCAAGAACAGTTGAAGTCATTTGTCTTGAATAATTTGAGGATTTAAAACCTCCAAATGGGATGATTTTCATTGGACAATGGGCTACTTAACAATTGATTTCATGTTTGATTTAAGTGGCCAGGGGATGATAGCGTTAGCCATTTTGGCAACCTTGTACCCTTTTGTCTTCTGTCCAATCGGCAAGGAGGACTCAAATTGATCCATAGGATGGTTGAGTTCTCTGATGCCATGAAAGACTACGCTAGATTCGACATTATGAACAGAGTATAATTTAAAAGCCGAAACTGAAGAGCTGAGAGTAAAGAGGTTGATGAAACTCTAGAGTGTAGCATTTGTATCTCATTCAACTGTAGTACAATACAGCATTAAACTACAATATATTCCTTTATATTGTAGATGTTGGTTTTTCTACTGCTAAGTGATGATTATTGAAATAAGAAATTTATAGATGTTGGTTTTACTCCTGCTAAGTGATGATTATTGAAATAAGAAATTTATAGTCGATGTTGGTTTTACTACTGCTATGCAACAATAAGGCTTTTCTTAAGAGAATATAGTTCGTATAAATTTTCAGAGTGATGCATTGGTGGTCTTTCTAGCCTGTTTTCAGGAGAATAATACCTCTTATTCTTTTTGATCTGTTTATGTTATATGTTTTGCCAAAATTCATGAAGCATTTAATCCCGTAAAAAAGGGGTGTCTATGAATTTTTTTGCTAAGTAGGCGTTTTTTAATGTGCTTGTTAGTTTTCGTTTTTCATCTTGCTGTTTTTTTCTTTTTTCTTTTTTTTTTGCTTCTAATGCCATTTTCATCATACATGAAATCATTACATTTTCTAAAATTCACTTTCTAATGTTTGAATTTATAGGCGGTGCTTCACAACTCCTGAATTGGATATTCTTCCAAGAGCTTAGCATCTGATTCTGAAGGACAGAGATGCTTAACAATTATTTTTCTGATACTCAAACGAGGACAAACTTGTGTTAGCAGACATCCTTTTTGTAATTTCGGGATTAATTGTAAAATGCCAAAAATAAATTAAATTTGTCTAAGCAGCTGTATATCTCTGCAAAACATTACGTTTTTGGATGGATTCTAGAAACGAAAGACTTGGCCATGCGGGTCAAAGGTTTGTGCAAGGCCCTTCAACTTCTGCCAACACGAACAGTGGACTTCCAGAGATCGCTGGATTGAGCGGACTAAGCCCTGTGTTAAACTTCTCAATTCAAACAGGCGAGGAGTTTGCACTCGAATTTATGAGAGAACGAGTTACTTCTAAAAAACCCTCCGGCTCAAATACATCAGCGGATCAAACCTTCACCACCAATTACATGGACCTCAGAGGTGTGCTTGGTATCTCTCATACCGGATCTGAGAATGGGTCAGATATTGCTGCTGTTGATAAATCACAATACAAAGAGATAGAGAAGAGAGGATTGACAGAAAGTGATGTTAGAAATCAGCGTTACATATCCTCCAGATCAATTCCGCGGGTCCCTTCTGTTGAAGGCAGTAGTCGTGGGGGAGTTTCTCGTTGCTTTTCTTCAGGGACTTCTGATACAACATCCAAAAAGATGAAAATCCTTTGCAGTTATGGTGGTAAGATTCTACCCAGACCCAGCGATGGAAAGCTTAGGTATGTAGGTGGCGATACACGTATTATCCGAATCAATAAAGATATTTCCTGGCAAGAGCTCCTTCAGAAGACAACATCTATCTACAATCAGCCCCACACCGTAAAATATCAGCTGCCTGGGGAGGATCTTGATGCATTGGTATCAGTTTCTTGCGATGAAGATTTACAAAACATGATGGAGGAATGTAGTGTTCTTGAAGTCGGCGAAGCTTCTCAGAAGCTGAGGATGTTCCTCTTTTCCAGCGATTATGATGATCCGCATTGCAGCCTTGGAAGTATCGAAGGGGACTCCGAAATTCAATATGTGGTTGCTGTTAATGGTATGGACGTTGGTATTGGCAAGGCATCCAGTGATCATGGGATGGCAAGCACATCAGCGAGTGACATGGATCTATTAGTTAATCTTAATGTTGAAGCTGATAGAGCCAAAACAAGCAGAGTTCCATCAGAGACAGTTGGAAATTTGGTTACTCCTACATCTTCAGCTTTCCTGCAAAGTTTGTCGAGCGAATATGGAACACATGTACACTCTTATGAGGATAACAGAATGCAATATGTGGAAGGTGAGCATTTTCCGTACATTGTTTCCCAAGCCCCTGACAGTTCTCATGACACGAATAGCAGAATTTCGATACCTGCATCAGTTCCATCGGATTATAACTATAATTCTCCTTATTCGCAAGTTGTTGGAAATCCTACATCGGTCACGCCCTACGAACTATCAACTCACTCGCAAGCAGGTTCTGAAAAACAAAATAGTGTCGCCAAAACCGCCACTCAAAATGTGCTGATGACTGATAAAAAAATAACGGTTGATATGTTGGCCAGACAGAAAAATGAAAACGATCATTTAATCTCTCGTGAAAATGAATACACTGCACCCATAAACCAGGAAGTATCTCTTGTTCCTTCCATACCAGAGCATGTATCATCTATGTTTCCTCTAAAACATAATGGCAATATACCAGAAGCATTAGTGGTTTTATCAACAGCTGATGCTACTGTAGGTTCTGGTTTGCCTTCTCAGTTAAATGAAGATGATCGCTACGCATCAGGCAGGGCTGTTACTTCAGAATGGTCTGATTATGAGACTGACATTGCTGATCTCACCTATAATGATCCTCCTCATCCTCCACGAATCTTTCACTCAGAGAGGATTCCTAGGGAGCAGGCTGAATTCTTGAATAGATTGTCCAAATCCGATGATTCTATTGCAGCTCAATTTTTAAATCTGCAAGCACGTGCTGGTGTGGCCGAAGAGTCTATTGCTGAAGCTGCTGATTCTTCCCTTGAAGGAAACACAGTTTTTCAAACTGAAAGAATTTCTGCAGCAAAACCACCAAAACCTAATACTACTACTACATTGGAGGATGGTTTAGTGCAGTTTGAAAAATATAAAGTACTTGCTGATGCAATTAAGAAAATAAACAAAGATGGCACAGAGGAAGCTTCTGATAGTTCAGCGGCTTATGCTAGAAATGACCAGAAGAGTGAGTTGCACCGCAATGATGACGGGGAAAGGAGTGAGCCTGTTGCTGGAGGAATTTTGGAGTTCTGCGATGCTGGTGAAACACATCCCACCAAAGCAAGCTACGAAGAACTACCTGTTGATGGAATAAACGTGACTGCAGCTGCTACAACACAGTCGAACAATCCTACCTCTATTCTACCCAACTTTTCTTGGGAAGGGATGCCTATCAGTGCAGCCATGTCCACCCCCGTTCATGATCCTACGGTACCATTTGCATGGGCAGAAGCCTCTTCTGTCGGAGCTGTTTTACAGGGTGAATCTTCTTACCCTCCAGCCGACCAAAGGGATATAGCCAGTGATATAAATGATCATTTTCCCACTAACCTACTTGCAGATATCTTTTCAAATGCTGGAATTAATGACGACCCAGCAGGCATGCGACCCCTTCGCCATGACGATGCTGGCATAAGTTTGAACTTGCCTAAACATGAACCTCAGCGGTGGTCTTTCTTCAGGAATTTGGCTCAAGGTGAGTTTGCTAGGAAAGATGTTTCGCTTATGGATCAAGACCACATTGGGTACTCTCCTCCAATAGTGAAGGCTTATAATAGGGATCACAGGGCTTTTAAATTCTCACCACTGAATGAAGAGGCAGGTGGGTTGAGCCATGGGGATACACAAATAAAATTCGATAAGGAAATGCAGCAGGAATCCAGTAACGTAGGAAATGATGCTAATGTTATGCACCAAGATTACATATCATCGCAGGTTAGCCAACTTCACTTGATGGATAAGGTTGGAGAGAGCTTTCAGGTTGATAACCCATTTGCAAAGGTTAGAGAGAACCTAGCAACAGCGACAGAGTATGAGGTACTTTTCTCTATGACTATATGGTATATTGTAACTATTTTTAAGCAGATCTACTAATTGCCATAATTTCTTTATTTGTTTTTAGGAATTGAGGTTTTCTATTGAAGAAACTTGTGGGCAAGTTTTTGATACAGATATTGATTTTAGTAATTTGCAGGTTCGATGTTTGAATCAGTTTTTAGTTATTTTTCTAATATAACTAGTTTATATGGAAGAACTTGCAAGTGATTTCCGCATACTGCGGAAAAATTTTTTAGCTGAATTAGATTTGTTCTTTTACACATGTATGCTTATTTCTTTGCCATTATGCCTTTTTTTCTTAAAAAATGATGAGTTTCTCACTCAGATGTTAGATTGTTTAACTGAGTAAGCAAAGAAGATGTTAGCTTTGCCTAATCAGCTGAATTAGATTGACTCTTTTTAGTAGCTTTAACTAAGCAAGCAAAGGAAGCTCTCGTCACTAATTGCGTTAAAAACTTTGAGCTGATTTTGATTAGCTCTTTTTACACACGAACGCGTTATTGAGAATCCTGGCCGAAGTTCTGAGTTTCTCACTTAAACCTGGCCAAAGTTCTAGTGGTTGGAAAACTACTGGCCGACTGTAGGCAGGTAGAGGACGAGCCGGAAGGGATATCAAAGGGGGATGGTCACCAACTCGGAGCAGAATACAACCGGAGTACTACCTGTCCTTGGATACAGTCCTGACAAGAGGGAGAAGCCTATAGAAAAAAAATCTGAAACAAAACATTAATTAAACCTAAACAAACACACATTTTAATAGAGGATATATATGCGGGAAACCAAAAAGTAGTGGCCCCATCCTACCAGCCCCGTGTTAGTCTCTTGGGGTTGAGGAAACTTTGACTTAATTCTTCGAAGCTTCTAGATCTTTATAGCATGGCGTCAGATCCCTTTGATTGACCCTCATAATATTATGATTTATGATTTCTCTATATCCAATTTATCCAGAAACTATATATATATATATATATATATATGGCATGTCATATTATATTTTGAAAATTTGAAATCAATTTGAGGAGATATCTTCATTTGGAATTGATTTGGTGACTATTTCGTTGAAGTAGTTTTGGTTCTTTTCTTCTCCCTTCTGGCGATGTTGGGTTTATGCACTTATATATGATTATTTTCTTCACTTGTGTTTAATTTTTCTTTTAATTTACATTCTTGTTTTCTGAGGATTTTTTGGCTGTAAAACTTTAGCAGTAAAGGAAAAGCAAATGTTGTCACTTTATTTGAATATGCTTTGTTGATCAAGTATAATATTTCCCCTTGAAATATAATTATTGTGTGGAAGAATACCTTGGTGAAGTTTTAAGATGGGTCTTTATTTGTGGTATTAATTTTACATTTCTTTTAGAACAAAGGCTGTGGGGTTTTAGACCACCTTGTCGTTGATATCAAATGATGGGAAGGTTATTAAGAGGTTTCTTTGGCTATTTTGAAAAGAGTCTTAGCTAAGTTTTCCTTGTAAGGGGTCTATGGATGGGATTTGACACAATTTTTTTTAGGTTTGAAATAATCAAGGACCTTTAGAAAATGGCGGGAAAGTTAGAGAACATTTTAAACAGGGATGCAAATATGTTGAGGTTTGCAAAGTATTTAATATCTTTGATGCGCAAATTAATCCGAAAACGGGCAACACAGTCCTCATTGACATAAATTTTTGCAAGAGTTCGAAGCTGACTTTCATTGAAGCAGTTAGGGTATAAATATTACATAATTGTTGTAGAAGTTTAATTAAACCACACTAGGAAACCCTCCAAAGTTCCCTCTATATTAAATCCCTTAGAGGCATATATGTTCTTCTCTCATTAGCTCTATTTTGTAAATTAAATGTACCTCCAACCCCTTACCCCCCCTCCTCTCCCCAAATTCTTGTGTTTGTTCTTTCGAGAACACTCTGATGTGGAAGTTTTTTTTTTTTTTTTTGGGGGGGGGGGGTTTTGGGATTAATCCCCCATTTTTAAGAATAAAGGGATGCATAAGAGTATACTAACTATAGAAGAATTAAGTTAATGTATCATACATTAAACTTATGGGAGAGAGTGATTGAACATGGGTTAAGACTTGATACAAAGATTTCTCGTAATCTGTTTGGATTTATGTCGGGCAAGTCTTCTATGGAAGCTATACATTTATTGAGTGGTTTGATGGAGAAGTAAAGGGAGAGTAAGGAGGATCTACATATTAATTTTATTGAATTAGAAAATGCTTACAATAAGGTTCCAAGATAAGTTCTTTGGAGAGTTGTAGGAAAGAAAGGTGTTGATATGACTTATATTTAAGTCATTAAATTTATGTATACTAGAGTTGGTACTTGTGCTTGAATAGGAGGATAGACTAAGTATTTTCTTATTTTAGTTGGATTATATCAAGGATTGGCTTTAAGCCTATATCTTTTTGCTTTAGTTATAGATGCTTTACTGGATATTTATAGGTGGATGTACTTTTGGTGTATGTTTTTCACTGATGATATCCTTCTTGTGGATTAGACTAAAGAAAGAGTTAAGGAAAAACTTGAATTATGGAAGTATACTTAGAGTCTAAAGTTCTTTGTTTGAGTAGATCTAAAATTGAATGTATGGAATGTAATTTTAGTAGTAGTAGATCTAGTGATAGAGTTATAACAATAGGTGATCAAATCATTAAAAGGAGTGAACATTTTCGATATCTCGGATTTATTGTTCCAAGTGTAGGTGATATTGATGGGGATGTTATTAGTAGAATTCAATTTGATGGTTGAAGTGGAGGATTGCATCGGGTATATCGTGTGATTGAAATGTACCATTTAGACGTAAAGGAAAAATTTATAAGATGGTGGTGAAACCTACAATGCTTTATGGCACTGAATCCTGACCTATAAAAGAGAAGCATAGAACTAAGTGTTGCTGAGATGAGAATGCTTATGTGGATGAGTGACTTTACACTTAGAGACAAAATGTGAAAGAAATATATTTTTGAAAGGGTTAGTGTAGCTCCAGTGACAGACAAGATTAGAGAGAGTCATCTTAGATGGCTTGGTTACATTAAATACATTAAACGTTGACCATCATCTAATGATCTGGTTAGGATTCTAGATGTTTTAGATTAGACTTATATTAAGGTATAGGTAGACCCAGAAAGACTTAGTCATTTTATATTAAAAAAAATTATTTTAATTTATTTGAATTAAAGGAATATGACACTCTATGGACACAATGGAGGAAAAGGATTTATGTAACTGACCCCACTTAGTGGGATAATGGCTTGTTGTTTTTATTGTTGCTGTTCATCATGCACTGAATAAAACAATTTGAATGAGCTATTACAATTTGATTACTTGGCAAAATATATAAAACTTGGCTTTAATGCTGAAGTTTGAGGTAGGATTAACAATTATCAATCAAACTGTTCTTATCCATACGTTGTTGACCAAAAAGGTGGCAATTTAGTTACTCTGCTTAGGTGATTATCTTGAAACTTCTCTTAAGATGCATAGTTTGTAGCTCTTCCCAGTTAAAAAATGCTAGATTGCAATTGTTCATGGAGGGCTTTTTTTAATATATTTATGCTATACCAATAATCAAGGGTAAGCATTCCATCAGCTTGGATGTATTAATTTTCAAATTGATCAAATTAATTGTAACCAAAATCCGAAAAACTGAACCAACTAAAATTTTGATAAACCGAATTGATTGAACTGTAATTTAATTCAATTTAAACGGTTTGGTTATGGATAAACCAAAATTTTGTTGTTTTTTAGAATTCGATTATGAACAAACATCAAGAATTACTTTTTTTTCTGTAAAATATCGATTTAATTTCATAAATCCTCCATTTAATTTTGAATTTTCAGTTTTCTAGTTTTTCTTTTTATTCGGCAATATGAAAATTAAAATCAAACCAATAACCGAATATCAAATATTGAGGTTTTAAAAACTAAACCGAAATGCTTATTTGAAATTGAACCAAATCAACCAAACTTGTTCGGTTCGGTTCCATTTTTCAGTTTTAACCAAATAATGTACACCCTACTCATAATTTTGCAACAAATTAGCAGATTTGGTTACTTGTCATTAAATTGAAGTGATGCAAACAGAAGTTTATGATATCTGGGCATGAAATGCAAGGTTCTTTTTCTGTATGTGAAGTTCTGATTTCAATTCATGATACAGATATTTATAACCGTACTCATAATTTTGCAACAAGTTAGCAGATTTGGTTACTTGTTATTAAATTGAAGTGATGCAAACAGAAGTTTATAATATCTGGGCATGAAATGCAAGGTTCATTTTCTGTATGTGAAGTTCTGATTTCAATTCATGATACAGTATTTATAAATTTAGTCAAGTTCATGAACCTTCTTAACTGGAGGAAGTATTCTTTAACACATTAGGACTAATTAAATATATTTTGTTTTTTTAGGTGATTTTTCTTTGTGTGACAATCTTTCTAAGTCTATCTTTGAATGCTCACTAAAGTTGACCATGTGCTCTCAGCTCACCTATTTTCTATATACTAAGAGATTCTTTGTTCTGTTAGAGCTGGCGGGACCTAATGAGAAATAATAACGTCTTTCAATGAATCCATAATGCAAAATAATTAATATGCATTTTTGCATTCACAGACTAATATACCAAAAGCAATCTTTTTTTTTTATATATGACCAAAGAACATGGAGAAAAATGCAAAATGATGTTTGCTTCATTTACTTCTTGTTCTACCGAACCTTTTAATATATATATATACTTGTTCTACCGAACCTTTTAATATATATATATATATATATATATATATAGTTTGTTAGTTTGATCTAATGCCTTCAGCAAATGTCACTCTGTTCAACTGAAAACAGATTATAAAGAATGAAGACCTCGAAGAACTGCGAGAACTGGGTTCAGGTACATTTGGAACTGTGTATCATGGAAAGTGGAGGGGAACTGATGTAGCCATTAAGCGGATAAAGAAGAGCTGTTTCACCGGGCGCTCATCTGAGCAAGAGAGACTGGTATTACATTTTTCAAATCTTTCTAAATGTTCATGATTTTTTTGTCTAAAAAATTTTATTTAGTAATGCCAGATTTACCAGTCTGAAAAGTAATACATTCCTAGTTTTACATAACTGGCAGACTCAAGAATTCTGGAGAGAAGCTGAGATTCTCTCAAAGCTTCATCATCCAAATGTGGTGGCCTTTTATGGGGTGGTGCAGGATGGTCCAGGAGGGACATTGGCAACAGTAACGGAGTTCATGGTTAATGGATCTCTTAGGCAGGTTTTGCTTCGTAAAGACAAGTAAATACTCTATTTATCCTTTGAAGTTTTATTTTTTGGGCATTTACATACATACCACCCAATTCTTATGTATTTACATATATAATACCTAAACTTTGGTTTTTCCATTTATACCACTCAAATCTTTCCTATCATATCAAAAATTGGAATAAACATTTTCATGCATAGGTATATATGTAAAAATTATGATTTAGGTGTTAGACGTGATATGAATTGAGTAGTATACATGTACATGTTCCTTCCTTTATTTGTTTATTAATATTTTATCTTTTTGAGTGCTTGCTTGAAGCAATCGAAGTTAACTTCATGAAACCCACAGGTATCTTGATCGCCGTAAGCGGCTTATAATTGCAATGGATGCTGCTTTTGGAATGGAATATTTGCATTCAAAGAATATTGTTCATTTTGATTTGAAATGTGATAACTTGCTCGTGAACCTGAAAGATCAGTCTCGCCCCATTTGCAAGGTAAATTAGAGTTTTTGTCTTTGATCTTTGCAAAGGTTGAGTTTTGACTTTCGTGCTCCAATTATTTTTTTCGTTAATTAAAAATGACTTAATTAAGGTTGGAGACTTTGGGTTGTCGAAAATAAAACGGAATACACTTGTTTCTGGTGGTGTGAGAGGAACATTGCCATGGATGGCTCCAGAACTGTTAAATGGCAGCACCAGCAAAGTTTCTGAAAAGGTAGCAGTTCCATTGTGTCATTTTAACATATAAAAAATAGGGTCATTTTCCATACATACTGCCCAATTCCTTTTTTTTTACATATCTAACACCTAAATTTTACTTCTACATTTGTACCGCCGAAATCTTTCATGTCACACTAATAGTACATCCATTTCAACTTCTAAAATGTAAAATAAACCCTTTCATGCATAAGTAAGGTGACATATATGTATGTAAAAGTGAAGTTTAGATGTTAGATATATAAATACATAAGAATGAAGTGGTATGTATATAAATCTTTCTAAAAAATTGTCAAGGAAGAGACATTTCTGCATCCATGTCTGTTTCTACTTTTTTGTCTCACTTTTTATGTTGGTGTTGGTTTCTAAATGTAGTTATCTATGAATCAATTTGTTGCAGGTTGATATTTTTTCTTTTGGCATTGTGTTGTGGGAGATTCTAACTGGTGAAGAGCCTTATGCAACCATGCATTATGGTGCCATTATAGGTATGACAATTGTTGTTTGTTCTAGTTCTTTTTTTGGGTGCGGGTGCATGTACATACATAGCACACAATTCTATTGTATGTATATATCTCACATCTAAACCTTCCTATTTACACACATATCACTCCAATCTTTAATATCACATCAGAAATAGCACAATTACCACTTTTTAAAAGTGAAGTACACAATAGTTTTAAATCACCAAAGTGCTATGTATGTAAATATGAAAGTTTAGGTGTAAAATATGTAATGTGCTAGGTAATGCAGCTTTTGAGATTAAGATTTAATGGTGTATCTGGAACTGCTTTTTCGTATACACTTAACAAATTGTTGCCACACTTCTGTTTGGTTACAATTTTATTGTTGTTTTTCAAGAATTTTTGTTGAGATTTTCTATTTTTCATATTGGGGTCTCTTAAAGTGCAATAACATAAAAAAGTAAATAATAACAACAACAAGCCCTTTTCCAACTATGTGGAGTCGGCTACGTGTATTCTTTTTCTCCATTATGTCCTATTGAGTGTCATATTTTCATTTAATTTTAATAGGTGTTGATCATTTTCTTACAATATGTCTGAGTCTTTTTTAGGTGTACCTCTAGCTTTCTTAAAATAATTCGAATTTAAACCTTCTACTCTCCGGATCATCAGATGGTCGATGTTTAATGTGACCAAACCATATAAAACAACTCTCTCTAATATTGTCCGCCAGGAACTACACCAACCCTATTACGGATATATTTATTTTGCATTTTGTCTCTAAGTGTCAAGCCATTCATTCACCTAAGCATTCTCATCTCGGCCACACTTAACTTTATTTTATGCTTCTCTTTTAAAGGCCATCTTTCTGCACCATAGAGCATTGCAGGTCTCACCACCATTTTAGAAAATTTTCCTTTAAGTTTAAGTGGTACTTTTCCATCACACAATAGGCCTAATGCATTCCTCCCCTTCAACCAACCAGCTTGAATTCTACTAATATCATCCTTATCTATATCACCGTCACTTTAAACAATAGACCCAAAATATCTAAAATGTTCACACCTTTTAATGATTTAAGCACTCATAGTTACAGTTCTGCCACTAGAGCTACTACTATCAAAATTACATTTCATATATTCAGTTTTAGATCTCAAACGAAGGTCTTTAGACTCCAATATAGACCTTATAATTCAAGTATTTCCTGAACTCTTTCTCTAGTCTTACCTACTAGAAGGATATATTCAGCGAAAGGCATACATCAAGGTACGTCCTCCTATAAATGTCCTATAAGAGCATCCATAACTAAAGCAAAAAAGATATGGGCTTAAAGCCGATCTTTTATGTAATCCAACTGAAATAGGAAAATACTTGGTCAATCCTTATGTTGGAACCTAAGTAATAGCTCTATCTTTAATGACTTGAATATAAGTCGTATCAACACATTTTTTCTCTAGAACTCTCCAAATGACTTCTCTTGGAACTTTATCGTAAGCCTTTTCCAAATCAATAAAATCATATGTCGATCCTTCTTACTCTCATATATCCAAACTGATTATGAGAAATCTTTGTATTGCGTCTTAACCTATGTCTAATTACCCTCTCCCATAATTTAAAAGTATGACACACCAACTTAATTCCTCTATAATTTGCACACTTTTTTACCTCCCTTTTATTCTTAAAAAGGGGATCAAAATACTCTTCCTCTACTCGGGCATCTTAGTTTTTAAAATAATATTAAAGAGTTTAGTAATCCAAAAACTTGCAAATCTCCTAAATGTTTCCACACTTCAATTGGGATATTATCAGGTTCTACTGATTTTCCACTATTGATTTTCTTGAAAGTCTCAACTTCTTTTTAACGTAAAATAAAACGTTTTATTATTATTAACAATATTAAGATCACTAAGGTCAATCGCATTTTTAGAAACTTTATTGAAATGCTTATAAAAAAAACTCCCCCACCTATGTTGAATAAAGAAAAATTTTTAGAAGGAAGAACTTTATAATGCTCACAACTTCTTAAAAATCTGCCTCTTCTTCTAATAACAATTTCACAAGGATCACAACTAAATTTGCAAGGAGCTACAACCACCCTAAACAGACCCATTGCTTTCTTTTGTTGTTTATCGAAATTAAAACTACAAGTCCATGCTTAGTTTTTTGTCCTACAAATTAATGATGACCAACACTCAGTGGAAAATTTGCAATTCAAACTTTTGAAGATGTAGTTCATTATTATGGATAATCGAGTGTTGCTCTGCTGATGGGCCAAAAAATAATTTTTCTTCATTATTATTTTTGGGAAATTTGCAGGCACGCCACACAATTCTTATGTATTCACATATCTAACACCCAAACTTTCATTTTTACATTTTTAACACTTTGGTTTAAGAAACCTATACTTTAAAAGGTGCATGTATTTCACTTTTAATTAGTAGAGGATCTTGGTTTTTTTTTTTTTTTTATTTGATATTAAAGATTTGAGTGTTTCACATGTAAATATGAAAGTTTGGGTGCTAGATAGGCAAATACATGAGAAGAAATGTGCTACGAATGTAAATGCCCCTTTCTTTTAAATTTAATCTGACTTATTCTTAATTCCAACAAGTCAATCAAGTTTGCAGTTTCATCCTCAATTCTTCAGTTCATTTCTCTCCTTTACAAATTTAACATAATAATGTTCAATCTGTCATTTAATACAGGGGGTATTGTGAATAATTCGCTAAGGCCCCTCATTCCGGCATCGTGTGATCCCGACTGGAGAAGATTAATGGAACAATGCTGGGCACCGGACCCGCAGCAGCGCCCGTCGTTCACGCAAATCGCGAACCGTTTACGCGCCATGTCTCAATCTAAACCGGCAAAATAAATGGTTCCAATCTACATCTTAAAGCTTTATTATTCAAGTACTATCAATATTTCTATTACCGTTGTTGATAGAGCTTTGTATGCAGCTATGTATATTGTTTGTGATTGTTAATATCAAGACCTGATAAGTATGCATTATATTTTCAATCTGGAAGGGTATGTTGTTGGCCTTCATATATTTTTTGTATGGATTGATTTTATGTATTTATATAAATGTGGATGTTTTGCAGCCACGGCACTATTATATGATTATGTATATGGGAATATATACATTGTTAGCAGTTATTATTATATATATATATTTTTTTTGGCAGGATGAGCGCTCGGACCCGGCTTGATTTGGTGAAATAATGATAAGGTGACATTTCTGAATGAAAGCTTAATGGTCTTTTTACTTCTGTAAATGGCTGGTAATGGCTGTAAAAGGGTCCAGTTTCAAGTTCATCACAGATCATGCCAAGTTATAGTTTGGTTTGTTTGTAGCTTGATTTATGCATAGCTTTGTTAAATTAGATTTTGTTTTCGATCAATTTTTTTAGGGTATATACCACTGAGTTCTTATGCAGTTTGGTATGTAAAGCATAAACTTCCATATTTACGAACATAACACAACTTTAACATTACATCAAAAGTACTACTATTGCCTACATTTTAGAAGTGAAATAGATTTATGACACTAGAGTGATAAATATAAATATCAAACTTTAGGATCTAGACATGTAAATAGATAAAATTGTGGTATGCACATATATTTCTCTTTTTTGTATTTAGATATAAATTCGCCATTATATATATATATATATAGAGAGAGAGAGAGAGAGAGAGAGAGAGAGAAAAAATTAACGGTGAGGAGCATATTTTCTGTCCGGATTACTAACGTAGCTCTACATGTTGTGGAGGTTATTTCTGAGTTATTTCCATGTTATTTTTGGTTTATTTTTAATAATCTCGAAATAACCCAAAAATAAAGACCACGGGTTATTTAAATTTTTTTTAGGGTATATACCACAGAGATCTTATGCAGTTTGGTATGTAAAGCCTAAACTTCCATATTTACGAACATAACACCACTTTAACATTACATCAAAAATACTACTATTACCTACATTTTAGAAGTGAAATAGATTTATGTCACTAAAGTGATAAGGATTTAGACATGTAAATAGATAAAATTGTGGTATGCGCATATATTTCTCTTTTTTGTATTTAGATATAAACTCGCCATTATATATATATCTAGAGAGAGAGAGAGAGAGAGAGAGAGAGAGAGAGAGAAAAATAATGGTGGGGAGCATATTTTCTGTCCGGACTACTAACGTAGCTCTACATGTCGTGAGAGTTATTTTTGAGTTATTTTCATGTTATTTCTGATTTATTTTTAATAATTTTGAAATAACTCAAAAATAAAAACCACGGGTTATTTTTGGGATTATTTCAGAATTATTAAAAATAATTCAGGAATAATTTCTGCAGCATGTAAAGCTACGTCAGGAGTCCGCACAAAAAAATTAGCGGAGGGAGGGAGGGAGATTGCCTTTTTTTTTTTTTTTTTTTTTTTTTTTAATAATATTTTTTGGGTGCTATAAATCATTATTTATTTCATCAATCAGCTCCAATATTTTGGTACAGCAAAAAAAAAGATAAAAAAATCAAGTTTTAATATAAAAAAACAATTCCCATGTATCATATATCCAACACTTAAAACTTTGATTTTTACATTCATATCAAGCATGTTTTACATTTTAAAATTAAAATGATGACATCCTTGATGCAACATGAACATTTTAGAAGGTAAAAACATAAAAAATATAAGCTAAATGTATGATTTGTAAATACATAAGACCCAGATAATTTGTATGTTATGACCCAAAATAAAATTGATCCCCAGTAAGTCCTTAAATTTTCGAAATAATATTACTACTACAAAAACCAAAGCAATCGACAAATAATAATGAAACAATTTGCATGAAGAACAATCTTTTACAAATTGATCAAAATAGCTACAGTTTGCAAAAAGAAAACTTTTCCCACATGCATACAAAACAACTGATACATTTCTTTTCTTTCCAATGCTTCCTTTCTGTGCTCATTAACTTAAATAGACTGTTCCTCCCATACAAAAGATCAAAATCAACATTCTATAACAGATCAAACTCCTCACATAATCCAAAAACCTTGATTCAGCCTATCACCAGTTGAAAAATATTAAATCAGAGCAATTTCATTTTTTCACCTTTTTACCCCTTCTCCTATTGAGCTTTACTGCCAGTGCCCTGGAAGCACTCTTTCATTCAAGTTTCTAAAGATCTCTTGTCACTCTTAAGATCTCTTGTCACCATTACGGTCGCCATGCCCTTGCGAGCAGCGGCTTTTCGATCCACTCGGCGGTTCAGAAGTTTGCGGTCGAGAGGCCAATAGGCGTAGGGCTCGAGCTTACCTTTCTTCTTCAAATCACCACCAGCTTTTCTGCTCGTGTAATCAGCGCCGGTATAAGACCAGCCGGACTCCGTCTTATGCCGCTTCTTCTCGGAACTCCGTGAAGATTTTCCTGATTTAAGGCTGATAGATAAGCTTCTTGTTTCAGAATCTTTAACTGAAGAATTTTTCTGTTGCTTGGGTTTAATCAAGTCGTCGCATACAATGAGTCGGCCATCATTATCGATTTCTGGCTCATCTTCAGTAGCTTCAACTTTCCTGTTGAGCTTAGATGCGGACTGCAGGATCGATCTGGTTTTCCTGCGATCCAATAAGTCGAGCGGATCATCGTCAGACTGATCGAGTAAGTCTTCCGGCAAGCTCTTATTGAATGATTTGCGCTTTCGGGTGGACCTGAGAAAAACAATTATGATTTGAAAAACATTTTCAGGTCATTTTTCTTTCTTTTACTAGTGAGAATATAACAAGAAGTCCAGGAAGTTAAAAAACTCCAAGAAAATACAAAGAGAAGCGTTTATATAAGGTCATTTTAGTCCTGCAGTGTGTAAAAATCTCAAATAAGTCACCAAAATCTTAAAATTGGGGCTGAAATGTCCTCGGGGACTAAAATGACTCATAGGCTCTGGGACTAAAAATGACTAAAATCAGGAGATTATTTTGGAGCTTTTCTCATACACGAAAAGAAGAAGATAGAGCAATTGTGCACCTTAATGAAGCTCTGGATGCTGGAAAAGATGTCCTGGTGCGTGCTCCTCCATTTTCAATATCGCTACCATCCCTTCCATCCTCATCTCCGATGTCAGAAAATAAAATATAACAAGAAGTCCAGGAAGTTAAAATTGGGGCTGAAATAAGTCTCCAAAATCTTAAAATTGGGGCTGAAATAGTCCTCGGGGACTAAAATGACTCATAGGCTCTGGGACTAAAAATGACTAAAATCAGGAGATTATTTTGGAACTTTTCTCATACACGAAAAGAAGAAGATAGAGCAATTGTGCACCTTAATGAAGCTCTGGATGCTGGAAAAGATGTCCTGGTGCGTGCTCCTCCATTTTCAATATCGCTACCATCCCTTCCATCCTCATCTCCGATGTCAGAAAATATGCGGGTATGATTCCATCTACTTTGCCTAATATGTGGTTTTGAAAATAATCACAGAAGACGAGGAAGAGTGAGTAAAACGCAGAGAAAACTTTGTTTTATCATGCAAAATAATTTACAATGCATGCAATTTATATTAAATTTAGTGAATCGAGTAGAAACTATGAAATAAATGAAAAGTAAGGATAAGCATAACTACAAACTTGGGCTCCGTTTGAATTCCAAGGTCTATGGGAACTATAGCAAAACACTTCTACCTCTCCTTTTTCTTTTGATAAATATCCATTTGATTATTCGTCCCTTCATAGAATTGTGTTTATGAAAAAGCATGAATTAAGAAATTGATATCATATTTATCCAGTTTTATAACTTGATTTGGTTCTTTATAATAATTCTTCTGATTATCTGACCTTTCACAGCACTAAAAAAAGGGGAGGCAATTACATACATAGCATCAGAAACATTGTAGTTTTCAAATCTAGCACCCTCTTTCATCCATTTTTCAAATTCTCACTCAAATATCAAAAATTCATGATAAAATCCCAACCCATATTTTTCATTTTTATCAAATTCTCAATGATTTAATTGTGGCACGTGTAAATACATCGATTTGATCGTTTAAAAATATCATCTGGTATTAGATTTTGTGAATAGCAATCTTTTGGGTTCTATGTATGTTAATTATCCTAAAACAAAAACTATAAATGGTAACTAAACAGATAAATTTAGTGATATCGGAACTAGTTCGGAATTCTGCGGAAAAGAAAGTAAACACACAACACAAACGGAAAAAGGGGAAAATGCAACAACACTAATATCTAGTTAGGGCCGGAACAAAAGATCTGAGGGCGGTGGTGGCATCGGCAAAGTGGCAAGAAAAGTTGGGGAAGGTCTGGTGAGTCGGCTGGAACAGGGTTTGATGGTTTGTAGGTGGGCTGGAGAAGAAGGATTGTTGCGAGGAAGGGATGGCAGGATGCGGGTAGATGGCCTGGAGGGCTGCACAACCAAGATGGCTGTAGGGGAAGGGAGTACGGGGTGTTGGAATGTGAACTAGATGGCATTACAACTGGTTTCGGTGGCATTATGGGTGGCGACAGAGCTGTTGGAGGGAGATGAGGGTGGCTAGCAGCTAGAGAAGGGGTAGAAGAAGAGTTAGGTAAGGGTAAAAGGGAAGAAACAATACCACCTCAAAGCAGGATACAACCGGAGCATCACCTGTAGTCAGATATAGCCCTAGTAAGAGGGAAAAGGATTCCACACAGGAAATTTGAAAGCAAACATAACAAAAACTAAACCCTAACTCCATAAAATTAGTAAATATAATACTCCCACATAGAAAGAGCACAAAAGGAAAGCAAAAGAAGGGAGGAGTGAAAGTCTCGCCCCTCCAGGAAGTCGCCATGTTCAGAAAAGGACCAACATCAGCCCTATGACAGCCGTTTCAGCCGGTTAATTATTCCCGCGCGAGAATTTCTCCTACACCCACGACAGTCTCTTGAAGTTGGGGGGGCCTCAACCTCATTCGTTGAAGTTTCTATGAGCACATGAATGGCGAGGGAGATGTAATCTTCCGGGACGGACGAATTGTCAACTATGGTCCTATTAGCACCCGACTCCCACTGTCGGTTGTACTGTACTCCAAAACGCCAGAGGACTTTGCTCAACTTGAGAGCATACTTCTGTATCGATCTACTCTCCTGGGACTGCGAGCTCCGCTAGTACTGTTGAATCTTCTTAAAGTAACCCACTATCGGTTCAGTCTAATGTGCAGTGAGTGTAGACAAAATCGTCTGGCTCAATGGTGGAGCCAAGGGTACGGTGGTGACTGTGGATCCCGAAATACTCCATCGTATATGTTCCGTGTCTGGAGCAGGTATTCAATCTTCTCATCTTGTGTCGTCACTAGAACTGGTCCCACAGACGCTCGGGCTCCATTGAAGGAAGTAGGATGATGTGTTTCCCGTCATTAGTGAAAGAATGTGTTTCTGAATATATCGTGTTGAGTTCTTCGATCAAACTGCCAAAGTCTTCCCAACAGAAGGTGATAGACATCCATAGGGACCATATCACACCACACTTGGTTTTGCAGCAGGCCTCCGATCAAAAAATCCACCAAGCATCTACGGTCGACCAGATTCTCCTTCAGCATCCATGTAGCAAATACGGTTAGGAATGTCTATGAGTCGCATGTCCCAATTTCTCTACCATATGAGTCGACGCCAAATTCTTGTTGCTCTCATCATCGATGATAAAACTGCATACCTTCCTGTTCACGGTGGAGCGAGTGTAGAAAATATTGTGGCAAAGCCACAGCGGATCCCTTGTGGTCTCGGTCTGCATGATCCGTTAAATCACGAGTGTCTCTCCACCTGGTGGAAGCTGGTACACCTCACCCTGTTCCTCAGCTTTCTCCTCGGCGCTAACCTCTCCACGGCACCCTGATATGTATGTGTGACTACCCTACTCAGGGGACAGCTGGAGGCTATTTCGTTGTAGTTGTGACATCTATAACATTTCTTAGTCGTACAGTGTTGGAGGAGCTACCTTTCTCATGTTTCTTCCCGCTCTGATCCGAAGTGTCATTCCCTTATTTGGGCTTGCTAGTGTCTCCCAATGTACCTTAGTCAGTCGTGGTAACTGTAAATGACTGCCTGTCTCACGATTGGTGCCCAAAGGATGACTATTGCTTGTTCTACTTTTGCTGTCTCTCCACCTTTAGGGCTAGTTTTTGAGCATCTCCAAGTGACGAAAAAAGTTGCGGCTACACTACATTGCTAACTCTGTGAACTCCTCTACTAACAGATCCCTCTGCTGCAGGTGATGGAGCCTAAGAAACATATCCTGACGGTAATGGAGTGTAAGGTATTTTCTCTGCATTGTTTTTTCATCTTTTCCCACCTGGTGATCTTATCACTCTCTTTTCCTCTCTCTCTATAAGTTCTCCCACCACAAAAAAAAGCAATTTTCTTCATCTTGATAGCAGCAAATTTGACCTTCATGTTCTCTGACACATCCTTATATTCGAAGATTCGTTTAATAGATTGCAGCAAACCAATAAAATCTTTCAGATCCATATCTCCCTCAAATTCTAGTAGATCAACTTTGATGCCAAATTCTTTGTGCCCTCCAAATGATATCTCATCTCTGTAAATTCTCCCTATGTAAGGGATTCAGATATCCCTCACTCGGTCTCCTCTGACATTGGATTCTAAAACGCCAAGGCCTATCTTCTTCATCGCTTAAATTATCCCTATGGAAATGATTCTGATCCAATCTCTCTCTTTGACTCTCTAGCTCCCATTTAAAGGTAACTTCCTCCTGTTTTAACTCTTCAATCTCTGCAAGCCTCTATTGAAGACGATGCAACTCTCGTCGTATCTCTTCTCGGGTAGGCTCGGGTGTATTTCTCCTTGGTAGCATGGCTAGGGATTAAGAAATAGGAAAGAAAAATTTTGATGGGCTGGTTAGGGTTTGTGTTGTGGAAGGAAATTATTTGGTCGAGATGAGAGAGGGTGTATGCGATTGATGGCAGATGCAGAAAAATTGTTTAGATTTGTTGATTTTGAAAATCACCAAAGGAGAATTTGGGATTTGGAGGCTATGGCTTGGAAATAGGTGGATGCTAGGAAATCCTAGGATAAGACTAGGGTTAGGCTAGCTTTGATACCAAATGATACTGGAACTAATTCGGAATTCAGTGGAAATGAAAACGGACTTTTAGTAATGTATGGAATTAAGGGTTACAATACAACACAAACGAAAAAAAGAAAATACAACACTAATCTCTGGTTTGGGTCGGAAGAAAAGATCCGGGAGTGGTGGTGGCGTCAGCAAAGTGGCAAGGAAAGGTGAGGAAGGCCTAGTGGTTGTATGGTATGTTGGAATGGGGTTTGGTGGGTTGTAGATGGGCTAGACAACAAGAATTGCTGCAGGGAAGGGATGGCAGGATGCAGGAAGATGGCCTGGAGGGCTGGACAACAAAGGTGGTTGTAGGGGAAGGGAGGACGGGGTGCTGGAATGTGGACTGAATGACTGGACAACAGGTTTTGGTGGCAACAGGGTGGTGGCAGAATTGTTTGAGGGAGATGAGGTGGCTGGCGGCCAAGGGGTAGAAAGAGGGTTAAATAAAGGTAAAAGAGAAGATACAAAACCATCAGAGCAGGATACGGCCAGAGCACCACCTATCGACGAATACAGTCCTAGCAAGAGGGAAAAGAACTCCACACTGGAAATCCAAAACCAAACATAACAAAAACTAAGCCCTAACTCCAGAAAATCAGTAGATATAAGACTCCCACAGCGAAAGAACACAAAACGAACGCAATAGAAAGGAGGAGTGACAGTCTCGCCCCTCCAAGAAGTTGGTCGGTTCAGTAAAAGGACCTAGGCAAGCCCTATGCCAGCCGGCCGAACCGGCAGGCTATTCCACGCGGGAATTTCTCCTGCACCCGCGTCATTCAACCTATGCCAGAAGCGATAGTTGTAATTTTGATGAGATATAAATGATTTATTTCACTTTCTAAAAAAATTATATATGCCACCTGATGCATGGAAATATTTATTTCACTTTCTAAAAGTCAATATAGTTGTAATTTTGATGTGATATGAAAGATTTAGTGGTAAAAAAGTAAAGTTTATGAGTTAGATATGTAAATACGTAGGAAAGTAAAAAACTAAAGTTTATGAGTTAGATATGTAAATACGTAGGAATTGGGTCGCATAAAGGTAAATGCAAGAAAAACATGCTGTAAATCAACTGACAGCTATCCCAAGCAAACAAATTTACCATTAACTCCAAGTACAGAATACATTTAAATTCAGACTGAAATACCTAGAAGCACTTGTTCTCGAGTACAGTGAATTAGTATCTGCCCAAGATTTAGCTTTTCTTTCTTTTCGGTCCTTTATCTGACAAAACGTGAGATCAGAAAAAAATCAAGGGAAATTTACATACTTGGCACAATTCTTATGCATTTACATATCTCACACCTAAATTTCCATATTTACATACATAGCACTATGGTGCTTTAAATCTATGCATGAAAAGATGCATTTGACTTTGGGGTGATAGTGCTATTTTTTATGTGATAATGTGAGATTGGACAAACTCGAAAAAAAAACAAGGGAAGTTTACAAACGTAGGAGACAATTCTTATGTATTTACATATCTTACACCTAAATTTCCATATTACATACATAGCACTATTGTGCTATAAATCTATGCATTAAAAGGTGTATTTGACTTGTGATGGTAGTGTTATTTTTTATGTGATATTAAATATTTAAGTGCTATTTGTGTAAATATGAGCTTAGGCATCAGATATGTAAATACATAAGAATTGTGTGTTATATATGTAAATGCTCCAAAAATCAAACAGCAAACGCAAAGCAAAGACATAATAAAGCTCCTTACCTTGCGGATGTTTTTGAGAAGTTTCAGGTGTTCTTCAGGCATTACTGCCTTCACAGCTTCTACACCACATTTACTCACAAGCATCTCAATAAGAGATTTAATCTGGCAAAAATATAAAAATAAAAATTCTTGTGAATGGATTTGAAAGAAGGTAACAATATAGCATTGCTAAAATATTGTGCAAAATTGCCTATACAAATGAGTTAAACATCTGATGAAAAAATCAATGTGTTGATGATAAAACTTGTTCTTATTTTCAAGTAGATACAAATGGTTAATGATTTACGAAGATGTCAGCTAGTTCTGAATTTAGACAAGGATAACTGTAATCAAGATGTGCACTTCCAATATAATATGTGATGGCCATAAACCAGAAGCTCGTACGCAACTTGGATCATAAAACACTCCATTGACCTCGAAAATAATTATATTTCAAACCATGGGTCTCTATTCGTAAAAATAAGGTTATAAGGACAAGGCCAATTATTTAAAATCAAATATAATATGTCCAAAAGTTAATTGAAACCTGTTAAAAGTTCTGTGACCCTTCTGAAACGGGGCCTTCTTGCCCCAAAAGAAAGAAAGCAAAGAAGGTTATTGATGACCTTCCTTTTACAAGATTGATGTTTTTAATAATTTATGTGACCATTGTTAGATAGTTGACAACATAAAAGAAGAATACTAAAAAAGAACCTTGATCTCTTCCTTCAAAAATAGAAGAAGAATGGGAGAAAATGTTATTGTGATGGACAACAACGAGTCGAGTCTAGACGAAAAGTTGGACCTATCGCAATTTCTGATGTCAACTCCAAAAAATATAGCATCGAAATCATTGTCCAAAATGAACACGCGATATAATATTGCTATTTCTATCTTTTTTTAATAGCCCCTTCCACACTAAGGTACGTCACCTCACCATTAACAAACAAATGCACCGCCTTAATCAAATTTTCGTTATCTCATCGAGGCCGGCCATGGTGAATAATGAAGTGGGGGTTGAGCTGAAGCATGGGGAGGGGGATTAAAATGGAAAATGAAATGAACATATGCAACGGCATAATGGAATGTTACAATTATTCAATAAAGTAATCAAAAATTATGTTTTAGGGTAATTTACAAGCACTCCCTATAAGAAAAGAGCCTACGTTCTACATTGATTCACAAGCATATTGAAAAATCATCTCATCACAAATATCATGCATAAAAAACAAATCCTTCAAAAGATCAACCACATAAGGAGATTATTTTTATATTATTGAATTACCTTCCCTGTTTTGCGTGACTACTTCCTAGTTTCAAGTCATGACTTGCCGTAAGAATTTGAATCTTCATTCTCATGCTTCAAAGGACACCAACAAATCAGGCATTAACATAATGATGATTATTGAGTTCCATGATGAAAAGCTACTCAATTAATTGTGGAATCTTTCTTGATGAACGATGGTGGCAATAATTGATGATCAAATACCCAAGTCTTATTGATGAAGATTTGAAACTTGTCTCTATGTTGCAAAGCTTATTAAAGATGAGTGAAAACTTCCCTCCTTGCTCTACATCATACACGGTCCAAATCATTTTTTTTTTTTTTTACAACAATAAGCTCCTTCAAAACCAATTGCTTCGTCTTCCTCCAACATGAATCATGCTTGTGGAATTAAAAAGAGGCACGTTCGTGATTCCTTGTCTTCCATGTGATTGAGCTCTTCAATCTCCATCAAAAGAGCAAGCCTCAACAAGAGTATACATCAACTACTCTCTGAAAACTTGATTGGTAATAATATTTTCACATGCAACAAAATTACATATTGAGGAGAGATTAAGGAGAACTGCAACTCTGGTCATGATGAGATACACTTTGGAGTGGAAGATGGTGAAGGGAAAAACAAAAAATTAAAACTTGGGAGTGGAAAAAGGTAAAAAGAAAAAAAAATTACTAAAAGATTGGTGTCAGAGAAGGCCAGAGCTCATAATCTAAGTTTTTATAGGGATGTCCCATAATCAATTGGCGCTAATCAAGAATCAGAAAGGTAGCAGTTTCAGTCTCTTGTTCAAAATAATCAAGAGAAAAATCTTATAAATGTGTGTCAAAAAATGCAGTCCTGGCATAAAGTAAAATAGTGTGCCCAAGGTAATAGACCATAATAAGTCATTATATATTATCAAATTTACAATATCATACCTTTGCTTTAAAATGGTTTTTGGTATCGTCTTTCCATTTCAACAAACCTTCAACTATACCCTTCAAATGTGCTTCCAAACCATCCGCTTTAGATTTCGCAACCAATACTTTAATCAAACCTAAATTAGCCTGTGATGACAAAAACAAAACAAAAAATTGCAGGAATTTCTTTTTAGCTAAAATGTGGCCAGAGAGATGCATGCATTTATAAATTTGGTAACGAACATTTAATAAGAAAAAAAACAATGGAAAGCAAGCTTACTTTAATTATTTCACGGTTTTTTTTCTGTAAGAGGAGAAATGAAGATGGGAGCAACTTGTAGGCAGCACCTATGAGATCTGAAAACTCATATGCCAAGCGAGCTAGACCTTTGATAGCTGCGCTGACCATATGTGGTGTTTCACTAACCAAACCTCCAGCAACCTGAAGGGGTTAGAGAAAGGAATATTTAGTAATGGAAGTACTCAGAATCTGGGATATTTATAGCAAGTCTCAACAACACTATGAGAAAACTCACTAATAAAGAAAAACATTGGACTCAAAATAAAACTAATTCATGCGTTTCAATGTCAACAACTTGGAAACAGATGATAGTGAAATTATTAAATATGTTGATTCTTGTAAATAAGATGAAATAAGAATCAAAGTCATTCTGGATGTTGAACCTCAAAATTTATTGAAATTTTAAGTGGATTCTTACCTGAATCTCGTTTCAAAATTTTATTCTATATTAAAATTTAAAATGGAGATTTGCAGTTTGTGTCTTTATGATAAAGAATTAAATCAATATATCATTTACTCGTATCATATTAATTAATTACATCTAATTTTATAATTTTTTCTATTGTGAAACTTATGCTTCAACATTTCCATTGTCGGGTCTGAAGCCTCGGATTTGAAAAAAAGAAGAGTTGAATTAGGTAGTCGGCAACTACCAAAAAATTTTTAAATCATTATGAAAATGTTATGAAACTAAATATTTTCATGACACTAAATAGGACGCAATGAAAATATGACACTAAATAGGACGCAATGGAGAAAAAGGATTCATGTAGCCGACCCCACGTAGTAGGATTAAGGCTTTGTTGTTGTTGTTGTTGTTAATGAAAATGTTATGAAAATTGGTGTCCGCTTTAAGTGTGTATTGTAACAGTGAAAAAGTGTGCAAGGGCCGCTGCACCGACGCTCGGGTGTAGTGTTAAATAGGGTCTCATATTATAGACAAATGTGGGCAAAAAAAGTTAGTCCACGAGATTAATATTAGAACATGATCTTTAAATATAAGTACTCTCACAAGTAAATTACTGAAATTAGTAGATATTATGGTTTATAGAAAAATAAATATTTTATGCATTCAAGGAAATTAGTAGAAATTGATTGAAGAAAAAGGCTAAGATTGATAGTTTAGATTTTAAATTTTAGTATTCAGATATGAGACATAATAGATATGGTGCAGGTGTAATTATATATGAGTTTCAAAGATAATTTTTTAAAATGACTATAATTGAAGATAGAATTAGTCTTAAAGTTGTTGATACTAAGATTCTTAATGTTATAAATGTTTATGCTCACCAAGTAGGTTTAGGTACATGTTAAAAAAAATGAAACGACATAGAAGAATTAATACAAAGAATAACTCTTGAAAAAAAAAAATTATTTGAGATATAAATTGACATGTTGGTAGAGTGGTAGAATATTTTATAAATATTCACGGTGACTACAGTTTTAGAGTGACTAATGAAATAGGTAGAGTCATATTATCTTATAAGAATGAATCTAATAAAATATAAATTGATTAATTTCTTTTGAGAAAAAAAAATGTTGAGATTTTAAAGATTGTAAGGTCGTTCCAAGTAAAAATGTAAGTACTCAACATCAATTATTGGTTTTAGATTTTAAGATGAAGAGTTGAAAGATAAACAATACAACAAAATATTATCATAAAATTAGTTGGGGGCACTTAAAGACAAATAAAATTATTTTTATTAGTAAACTTTAAAATCTTAAATTTTAGGATGTTCATAAAGAAGTTAATACAATGTGAGATAGAGTATCGAACATTATTAAGCAAATTGCAAAAGAAGTACTTGGAGAATCAAAAAAAGAAAAAAAATTATAAATAAAAATAGTTAATGATTGATTAATAATGTACAAGAAAAGATAGAATATAAAAAATTTTGTTAAAAATATTAGTTTAAATGTAAAAACTTAGATAATTAAGAAAAATATAAGGTGACCCATAGAAACTCTAAGAGAACAATTTATGATACTAAAAATTTTGTTTTTAGTGGTATTTATAAAAGATTAGATATTAAATAGGGCGAAAGATATATGAATAAGTTAGTCAAAGAAATAGAAGAGAAAGGTTAAAAACTTAGTTCAATTAAAGTGTACTAAGGATGAAAATCAAAAAGTGATTTTCTTAGATGATGATACTCAACAAAAATGGGTGAGATATTTTAATAAATTTTTTAATGAAGATTTTAAAAATAAAATCGATTTTGGTGATCTTCAAATAGTTAATAATAATAAAAAAAATTTATTTTCATAGTCACATTAGTATAACGAAATATGAAAAAACTTCAAAGAAAATGAAGGACGAAAAATCAATAGAATTTGATGGTAACCCAATAGAAATGTAAAAATGTGTAGGGGATTTAGGAATTTTTTGGCTTATCAAACTTTTTATTATTATTTTAAAAACTAAAAAGATCCTTGAGGAGTGAAGGAAGAGTATTTGGTTTCTAATTTTAAGAATAAAGGAGATGCACAAGGGTGTGCAAACTATAGAGGAATTAAATTAATGTGACATACATTAAAATTATCGAGGAGAGCAATTGAACATAAATTAAAGACGTGATACAAAGGTTTCTCAAAATCAATTTGGATTTATGTCAGGTAAGTCTACTATGAAAACAAAACATTTATTGAGACGTTTGATGGAGAAGTACAAAGAGCACAATGAGGATCCACATATGTTCTTTAATTGATTTAGAAAAAAATTATGATAAGGTACCAAGAAAAATACTTTTGAGAGTTTTAGAAAAGAAAGATGTTCATATGACTAATATTCAAGTCATTAAAGATATATATATCAGAGTTGTTACTTGTGTTCGAACAGAAGAAGGATTGACCTTGTATTTTCCTATTTCAATTTGATTACAATAGGGATCGGCTTTAAGACCTTTTTGTTTTAGTTATGAATGTTCTTACTAGACATTTACATGAGGATGTACCTTAGTGATACCAGCGTTAATCCAAACCACGACCGAACAATAAATATTGTTGTTGAATTCAAAAAGTTATGATGACTCCTCAACATAAAACAACACAAACATGCAAACGGCATGTGATAATGACGAATCTGCAAAAATAAGGAAGAAAATAGCACATCACTCTCTCTAAGGGAGAGCGACAGTTCCGGAAGGGCAGGAAGGGAGCTGCGGTAGTGCTAGAAGGTGGTTGGCAGCAAGTGGCTGCGGTGCTGGATGGAGCAACAGGAGGTCAGCGGTTTGTTTTATAGATGTAGGAGGGTGGTCTGTCGAAAAGAAGCTGGAAGAGGTTCGACCTACCGGAAGGAAGCTGGAAGGTGCAGGAGGCTGTCGGTGGTCATAAGGCATGTGCTGGAGAAGTTTCGGTGGTCTAGACAGCATCTGGAAGATGTTTTAATGGAATGGACAGCAACTAGAAGGGCTTGCGGTGGATTGGACAACAGCCATGAAGGGTTTGTGGTGGAGTGGACGATAGTTAAAAGAGCTTGCAGTGAACTGGACAGCAGTAGGGAGAGATTGCAATGGACTGGACATCAATCGGAAGGGATGGAACAAGCGGAGATAATCACCACCTCGGACAAGTTACAACCAAAGCACCTTTTCGCTGTCAGATACAACCTTCAAAGGGCTGAAACGCCTTAGGGGCAGCAAAGTGAATTAGAAACAATCAGAAACCCCCTCTAAGCAAGCAAAGTAACATATATATAATATGTGGAAGTAGATAAAACCAATAAGTAGTATTAAAAAAAAGGATGGAATAGGAAGGCACTAGAAAAGGCAAGATATTAGAATAGGAACGGGATAGAAAAAGGCAGGAAATAGAATAGGAAGGGGATCCCTCCTATGGAAGTAATAAAATAGGAAAAAAAAAGAAGGGGATGGGCGGTTGGCGCTTTATGGCTGACTGGTTCAGCCAGCCATCAGGCCAGTGCTGGCCAGTTGTTCAACCGACCCCAACAAGCCCCGCGACAATGATCAATGAATTCAAGTTTCTAGACTGGACCAAGTATTTTCCTATTTAAGTTGGATTACATTAGTGATTGACTTTAAGATCATATTTTTTGTTTTAGTTGTGTATGTTCTTACAAGACATTTACATGAGGATGTACATTGGTTTATGCTTTTTGTCGACGATATCTTTTTGGTGGATAAGATTAGAGAAAGAGTTTAGGAAATACTTAAATTCTAGAGGTTAAATTTAGAGTTTAAAGGCTTTTGCTTGAGTAAATCTAAAATTGAATACATGGGATGTAATTTTAGTAACAACAGTAGATCAAGTGGTGTGGTTGTAACAATAGGTGATCCAAGTCATTAAAAGGAGTGTAAGTTTTAGACATCACGGACCTACTGTTCATGGTGATGATGATATAGATGGGGATGTTATTAATTTAAGTTAGATGGTTGAAGCGAAGGATTGCATTGGGCCTATTGTGTGATAAAAAAGTACCACTTAGACTTGAAGGAAATTTTTTTATAAGATGTAAGTGAGACCTGCAATGTTTTATGGTGCAAAATGTTGGCCTATGAAAGTGAAGCATAAAACTAAATGTTGTTGAGATGGGAATAATTGGGTGGATGAGTTTCTTTACACTTAAAGACAAAAGTATGAATATATCAGTAAGTTTGATGTAGCTCTAGCAGTAGATAAGACTAGAGAGAGTCTATCTTAGATGGTTTGGTCACATTAAACGTCGACCAATTGATGATCCTGTTAGGAGAGTAGATGTTTTAGATTTGACTTTTGGAAAGAAGGGTAGAGGTAGACCTAAAAAGACTTGGGCATATTGTATAAAAAATAATCTTAATCTATTAGAATTAAATGAAAATATGACACTCAAAAGGACATAATGGAGAAAAAGAATTCATGTAGCTGACCCCACTTGATGGGATAAAGGCTTTGTTGTTGTTGTTGTTGTTGTTATTGTTGTTGTTGTTGTTGTTGTTGTTGCGAGACTTATGCCTTGCCTTACTAAGGCAAAAATTTCATTTCCTAATATCGTATTTATAAACTTTGAACAAACCCAAATCAACTCTAGCCAACAAATGGTCTAACCTAGCCAAACTCTAAATCAATGACCCAGACCTAACCCCTATGAAGAGCATATCCTTGCGGGATCCATAGCACTTTAGATCAACTTATTTGACCCGAGG